GGGGGGGGGGGCGCTGAGACACGCGGTGTGAACAGTGCAGGTGTCAGTGCCACACGCACGGGATCCTGACGCCGAGATGGCGAGGCCGAGGCGGGTGGGGAGGCCGGCTGGAGCTGGACGAGGCGGAGAGAAACCACGAAGGCAGCTGTGCGGAGTGTGGGCACCTGGGGGCGGGGCCGGCGACAGGCCGCCCGGGCGCGCTGAGGAGTCTGTCTCTCAGCTCTCAGCTGAGGTCCCCGTCCACCAAACGCACGAGGTGCTTCCTCCCGCTGGGCGAAGGCGAAGCAGCTCCGCACGCACACGGCTCAGGCGCGGGATCGGGCGCGGGCTCAGCTCAGGCGCGGGCGCGGGCGAGGGCTCAGCTCAGGCTCAGGCTCGGGCGCGGGCAAGGGCTCAGCTCAGGCTCGGGCTCGGGCTCGGGCTCAGGCTCAGGCTCAGCTCAGGCTCGGGCTCAGGCTCAGGCTCAGGCTCAGCTCAGGCTCGGGCTCGGGCTCAGCTCAGGCTCGGGCGAGGGCTCAGCTCAGGCTCGGGCTCGGGCTCAGCTCAGGCTCGGGCGCGGGCTCAGACGCGGCACCTCAGTCGCCCAGCCCGGCTCTCTCCGGGTCGCAGCCTCAGGCCATCTTCCCTCTGGATGGCCCACGTCTCTCCTCCCTGCACAGGACCTGGGACAAGGTGCCCTCGCGGATCCTGAATGAATGAACAAGAGCAGGTTCCAGGGGCCCCTGAGTGAGAAGTTATTCCTTAGTTTGGATTGTCTATTAATATCCACCTGTTTAAGAAACCACCGTGTGATAAGGACACATTACAGGGAACACTGGCTTCTAATTCCATTTACCAAGAGCCAGCTCTCGTGTATCCAGCTCCACAGAATCAGGCACAGTTATAACAGGCAAAGCAAAGCATGTGCACAGAGCTCCCTCCCGCTACTCTCCACTCAGAGTAGGCCAGCGGAAAAACTAACTTATTTTATATCAAATGCCACATTTTACTGTTATAATGTATGTTGCTAGCATTTGGGGAAGAGAGAATTAGCAAACAGAGCCATTAGAACAAAATGTTCTTTAAAGTAAATTCCAACCGATTTAAGCGGGAGGGAGGCGGTGACTGAAACAGTCTCAGGTGTGGATGAAAAGGCACCTATCGGGTCAGCAGGTGCTTCCGGCCTGCAGACGTCAGTGACCAGTTCCTAGCGTATGCTACTGGGAGGAGGGAAAGAGCAGAAATTTTTTAAAGAGAAAAAATTCTGATACTAAGAAAAAATTACAGTAACTTTTGTCAGCTTCCAAAACACATTAAGAAGATGGGTCATGACCCAGCAGGACTCCTGCAGGTACGTACAGCCCAGGCAGCTGTCCAGCGAGGACAGAAATCGCGGGCGGAGAGCCCAGCACTGGTGGTTTCCCCGCCGCGGGAGGTTGCAGGACCCACGTCACCTCCACGGCCTCGCCGGCATCTCCACCTTCTCTGTGCTCTCCCCAAGTCCCCTAAGCTCGGCTCCGAGACAGACACACGCCTCCTTCCTTCTGGAGTCTCCAACCATCCACACCCGAGCTACTTCGCACCCTGCACAGGTGTCAGGGCGAACATAACAAGCGCCAACATGTTCACCATACTGTGTGCAGCAAATTCTTACTTGAAATGTTACATTACCTCTAATTGATCAGTTCCAGCTTGTCTGGGGGGTCAGCTATCACGAGATGGTTACGTAAACGTCTACTAAGAATTCAAAACACCCACACATGGGTAAGAAGCTGGTTATTATTCTACAGAATAAAAATTGGTTTGGAAAATAAGACGCCCATTCAAATACTCTATTTTAGGAATATGTGAAGGTAAATTTGAAAATCAGACACTAAAAGCTTATGGGAAGTTATTTTAAAAGTAACCTTGGCATAGAGAATCTGGCTCCCTTTCCTCTGGCAGGTTAGAGAAAACAGAGCCAAATGCTGGAAGACACCTACAGAAACAGGGCAAAGTTCAAGAAACAACAAAACTCTGAACAAGCAGAGCGCAGGGTGGTGCCGATGACCCCCAGAGGCGTGTCCATGTCCTAAACCCAGAACCTTGGACGGCGACCTTGTTTGGAAAAAGGGTCTCTGCAGACTGTTAAGATGCCGAGTCAGGGAGATCCTCCTGGGTCATCTGCGTGGGCCCCACACCCCAGGACCAGTGTCCTTACAAAAGACAGGCAGAGGGAGAGCTGAGGGGGAGAGGAGCGGCCTCGCGACCACAGAGGCAGAGGCTGGAGGGCATGGCCCAGGTCAGGGGATGCCAGCAGCCACCAGAGGCTGGAAGAGGGGAGGAAGGATTTTCCTCTAGAGCCTGGGG